GTTCCCCACTGGTAGAGTGGTGAGTCAGAGACAAACGTCTCTTGGGGCACCTTGCCATTAGTTTGCCAGCAGAGCAGGTACTAAATATATCCCAAGGCTCTGCATGTGCTACTGCTTGATGGATGCTAGGCTGCTGGGTCACCAGGCTTTATAGTGTTCACAGTGACCATTAGATACACATCCATAAATGCTGTACTGAATTTATAAAGACGACTTTTTTACAGGAATGTCAGGAACAGTTTTCTGGTATGACCAGCCAGTTATGAGGGCTATTTTGTACCTACTTTAGAGCAGGGTTTGGGGACTACAAAGGAAGGGTGCACTAAACCTATTAAGACCTTGGAGAAATAGATGATACAAAAATGTTATTTACCAGAACCCTGGTTGACTGTAAGCCCTACTGATGTAAGTCAAGAAACCAGATACTATACCGAGCACAAAACCATTTCAAAATGGAAGTTGTAGTAACTTAAGAGCCACGTGGACCTGAGCAGCCAGGGTTCAGGCATTGTTTTTTGACAAGGGCAGAATTGCTCCAAAGTTCAACCACTTCCTTTCACACTGTCACACTTTTTCTCAGCCTGATTATCTCCAGTTCAAGCTAAAACTATGGGTTAATGACAAGAGGTGAATTCCAGCAAAACTGGAAGAGCAAGAATAGATGGACCTTTCCAATTTATTTCTTAAATATTTTTAAAATGTATGTTTCAACCTATATTTTTTAGGGAAAGGTGTTAATGGTTATGAACCTTTAAAAATAAACATAGCAAAATATAGCTGTCCAAATATTCATCAAACATCTCTACATTTCACTTAGGATTTAGGATATTAGCATGGCGGACAATGTTATTTCACGAATAATATTGATTCTGCTGCATCTCTCCTAGCAAAAACTCTTTGGCTATTTAAACAGCAGTAACCATTGCCGAGACCTGGAGAACAAACCCACTACAGAATGCATCAGGGCTTTTTCTGATACCTGCTCTCTCATGGCACCTTGCTTGTGCCTTTGTTTTAAAAGTCCTGTCATGCATTAGAGTTGCTAACCCTTGCCTTATGCATTACATTCCACTAGCCCTGACTCATAAGGAGTAACCCTTCAAAAAATATTTGTTAACTTGAAATGCCAAATTATTTTGGTGTCCCAATTCCATTCCAAGTGGTCCTTGCATTAAGCCAAATTATTCTTCTCTGTGTATTAGAAGTGTTTTGAGAAATAAACTTTTTTCCTGTATGCTGAAGCCATACATGCCTCATGTAAGCCAAGGTGGAGGCCAAGGCAACAGACTTCATTCTAATCTCCTTTAATAGTTAATTTTTTTAAATGTTAGTTGCCAAATAAGACTGGCTTTTAAAAATTCTTTATGTCAATCAAAATGTAGTTTTAAATAAAAATGTGAAATATTTGCTAGCCATGGATAAAAGTTTAAGTGCTAATCTTTATTTTTTCTTATTTGCTCCATTTCTATCTCCCTTTCTTTTGACTGTTAAATGAAATGACTATTTTAGATTTAATTTTGAGCAAAGGTGTACTGTCATTAGTGGTAGTCACATGGCTGTGTCTTGTGATATAGAAGGTGGTTGTGCGGCATTCAAATGAAATCCAACCATAGGTTTTGAGAACCATGTGGACTATATCTATATAGCCTAACAGTTTTATTCTTCCAAGAATGGCCAAACCAGTGATTTAACATTCCAGATACATAGCTGCACTCTGATGATCAGTTAGGGCAAATCAGATGGGCCTTACTTTAAGATTCTGCTCTGGTCTTTAATCAATGGAGACCTACCCTTGGTATGTCACAGAGAAATGAGGCAATCACCCTAATTAAAATAGAAATCAACATAACTTTTACCTCAATGAACAATGAAAACCAAACAATGGATACTGATGCAGCATTCCTGTAACTAGTTATTGTTCTATTTTTCTTTTTCTTTACTTGGCTATTGCAAACTATTCTGCACAAGATGACAATCTTCTTTATCTACACTAAACACTAAACAATTTTCAAAGCCCAGACTTTTGCACTGACATTTTGGTCCCTTTGCACATTAGAGAGGAAAGAGCCCGGCCAGACGTGGCTCAGCAGTTGAGCTTTGACCTAGGATCCAGGAGATCGAGGCTCGATTCCCTGTCAGGGCACATGCCCAGGTTTCGGGCATGATCCCGTGTAGGGGGGCGCGCAGGAGGTAACTGATCCATGACTCTCTCATCATTGATGTTTCTGTCTCTCTCTCTCCCTCTCCCTTCCGTTCTCTGAAATCAATAAAGATATATTTTAAAAAATAAATAAAATAGAGGAAGGCAAATGGCCAATTGTGGATATAGCTGCAAGTGAAACTCTCAACACATTAAACCTTTGAATTTTGACCTGTATGCTCAAAAGTTAATACATTACATCAAACCCCTCAAAGGCCCATCAGATACCTCACAGCACTGTGGAAAAAGCAAATTCACTCGCCTGACATCATCAGTATCTTAACTTATAGAGATGTGGAGGGGCAAGCAGTCCTGAGACAGGCGTATATGGAAGCTATGCAAAGTTTGGTTGGGAGTACCTGCGCTTAGTTTCTGCTTTCTTCTTTCACAAACAATCCTCAGAGCATGCTCCGACATGGCAGAAATTTGGCAGGGCCTTAAAAAAATTCTCCTCGAAACACATAAGTTAATGTTGTAACAATCGAGTTGTCACTCTAACATTCATCTCAATATAGAGAATGTACAGGTTTCTAAAAAAATAAAAATAAAAATGCAAGGAACCAGAAAAAAAGTTATTTCAGTAAATGTTTAGGAGTCAACTGAACGTTTGCTGTAACCGTATACTTTGAACCTATCACAGTATCAAAATAATGGCCAATGATTTTAAACTCATTTTATTTATGAATTTTCATGAATTTAGATTATGTACTTGAGGTGGTTATTCCTATCTCAGCGAGAAGATTTGCAAAATTTAAAAATTCTCTGTAACACACTGAAGAGCACCGTTTTTAATCTGTTTAGACATAAAACATTTAATTTCCATATTCTGAAAATGAATTCCATGCTGGTTTACAGATAAACTCAACATTTACTAGGTTGGCTGGAAGCTGATGGAGCAACCCAATCTTCCTACTTATCTTTAAATGATTTTCATCGAGACTTCATAAAGACTTAACACCAAATCCTCTTCTCACTGGGCTCTACATTCAACCTAGTGAGTTATGCTTTACATTGGACTCCATCAAAAAAAAAAATTAGAAAGCTAAATTAGAAAGCAATTCCTTGGTCAGTTCTCAAACTGCACATAATCACCAGTGGAATGATTAAAAATGCAAATTCCTGGCCCAGCTGGGTGGCTCAGTTGGTTGGCGTGACGTCCTATACACCAAAAAGTTACGGGTTTGATCCCCAGTCAGGCAACAGATAGATGTTTCTCTCACATTGCTCTCTCTCTCCCCCTTCCTCTCTGAAAATTAATAAATGTACCCTCAGGTAAGGATTTAAAAAAATGCAAATTCCTAGGCCACACCATCAGACTGATTCAGTGAAGGGCTCTTACTGTGTAGACTTCAACAAACACTCAATGGCCTCTGATGCAATTTGTCTATAGAACACTTTGAAAACTGCTTATGCAGTGAAGTTTTCTTACTTCTTCACCAAAGAGGGTCTATCAGTACCTATGGCAGTTTATGAATAAAGCTAATTAGTCAATTTTTGTGTGCTTTACAAATCTTGCAAATTTCTCAATGACGAAGAAACCCTGCCCAATTTTTCAACATTCTTATTCCTCTTAGACTATTTTTTGGGTTAAGTTTTATGAGTATTAGAATTGCAACATTCAGTATCCCAAAGTTGAAACTTAGAGTAAATCATTTCTAAATTAATGTAACCTTCTGTTTTTTTGGAGTAAGCTTAGAGGACATTGAAAGTCCTTACAGCAATGTGTTGGCTTAGGAGACTATATAGTTCCTTGAAAGCCAGTTAAAAAAACAAAACCAAACCAAACCAAACCAAACCAAACAAAACATAAGACAACCTGTACTAAGACCTCTTAACCAGAGAAGGAGCCTCAGAACAGGAAATGAGAGATTAAATAATAATGACAGGTAAATCATTTCCTAGACTTCCGGCGGTTCTTGGCAGCAAAAGGTTGTGCTTTTGGAATAAAAAATCATCCACCACAAAGTGACTAATTAATCAAGTGACTTATTACAAATAAAAAAATCCTTATATTTGACAAGATGGGCTTGTAGCAGCTTGCTGTGTTTGCTCCCAAAAGACAACTGCAAACAGACTTATTGTCATATTGCATCTTTTTCTCAAAGTAAAATTTAACAATTTTCTGGATAATTTGATTAAATAAGACAGGGTGCTCTCAAGTTGTCCTGCTTCAGCTTGAATTATCAGGCCAATATAGGATGACATTTCATGATATCCTTTACCTGAGTCAAAAACAAGCTATATTTTCTGTGCCTTTCCTAACATAAGGAATTCAGTATCATGGTGATAAAACAAACCTTGAGTCTAAAACCAAACACACTGGAAAAAACATAGCCATGATCAGCTAAGTCAAGAAAACATTTTGTCTCAGTTATAAGCATTTCTGTGTCTATACTGAATGCCTGACACACGGGATATTCAATAAATGTTTGTTAAACTAAATTAGTTTCTCCGGTCTTGAATTAGCCTCATGGCATTCATTCTTAATACTAGATATAAAGAAAGTCTAATTGTTAATCTTTTAGGGAGGTCTTCTAAATGTATCAGTTTAAGATTAAAAACAAAACAAAAAACGCCTGCAAAACAAAGGCAAGACAGCAAATTTACAAAAGCAGATAGAACAAGAGCAATGATGTAGCCAAAATAAGTTCATGATTAATACAGGTAAGTGCGTCAAATACTCAGTTATTTCTCTCCTGATTACTATAATTCCCCCACAAAGTCATCAAATCTCCATGATACTTTAAAGCAGTAACCATAGATTAAAAACCCCAAATGGTAAAATAAGACAAAAGAGCTGTTTAATTTCAAACGTTAATATATTTTCTATTTTATATTGAACATTTGCATCTGTAACCCCTCATTTGCAGCAACTATCACATCCTCATAAAAGGGGCAAAATTTGTAAGATGCCTCTTAAAATAAATATTCTTTTTTATAAAATAATAAAACTTCAAATAAATATTCTTTACACTAAACAATATGTTGAAAAAATTAGAAAATAAAGGTTGAATTTTACTGTAACTGTACAATATACATGAAGTCCAAAGGGAAATCAGAGTCTTACAATAAAGGCTTTCTGTAAGGCAAAATACAATCTAAAAACATACTGATTGATTCACATTCTTCCGAATGTACAACATATTAGTATAATATTTTGTGACTGTGCCATATAGCATGGCACAACTTGTTTTTCACAGTTGCAAATATTATTGTATATACAAAAATATAGCACATTATCTCTGGAGAAAACAATGGAAAAGAAGTCATTTGCTAATTTACAAATTTTGCAAGGACTATTCACAAACAAAAATTTTGCCTAGGAGTGTCTGTTGCTTTAGCTTATGCAACGAGTTGCCAGGTTCTATATCCCATACCTTGAGTTCTAACAAGCGTATCAGTTAAAATGGCACATGGACAAAAGCATTTCACTGCAAACAGCAAAGAATAGCCCAACCCTCTACTAACAGTGCCAAGTTTATAACTGTTTAGTGTGTTAAAAAGAAAAAGAAAAAAAAAAAAAGGAACAATCGTTATTACTGTAATATTCCTGATTAATGATGCTATGTTGGTTTTTCAAAGTTCCTGGGTGGGACAGTGGGAACTTTGCAGCAAACTGTGTTTGAGTTTTTACACCGGCATCCAGGCCTATTAACCCGATCATAACACCCCTGGCACAATTTAAGGCAACCCTTGGCTGGAAGGTAACACCATAAACAAGGCAAAAAGAGGGACATGACGCCCATAGCCGACCAACGTGTACAACAGTGAGACTGGCTGCAAGAACACGGGTTGTCAGCACAGTTGTCCTCGTCATCATTAGAACAGTGATAGAAGAGACCTTTCACACAGCACACACAAGTCCCATAGTCAATCACGTTCTGGGCTGAGCAAAGACACTGCTTGTCGCAGATCCAGTCTGACGGCAGAGGCCTCGGATAGGTGCACTCCTTACACTTGCACTTGCCACAGTCTTCACACCTGTAGGCATGCAGGCCCAAATCTTCCTTGCTCAGTGGCTTAAGCTCACCTGGCTTGAGCTCAGATTTGGGCTGCACCCGGATTATCCCATCAGCAATTGGCCCAGAGGTGAAGGATGGTCCCAATAGTCTCTGTTCGGAGGAACTGCTGCTGGTACTTGTCCTGGTACTGCTCCGAGACCCCGAGCTGACGGTGCTGATGGACCTGGACAGAGAAGCTCGTGCGGAAGAATGGACCTGTGAGTGCTGGAGCCTGGAAGGCTGGCGGTGCTCAGGCAGACCGTGGAGTCTCTCGTGTTTGTGCTGAGCGGAGGGGCGAGGAGCAGGCTTGAGGCCAGGTCTCGGGACAACGGTAGGCCCCTCTGTGTACTCATTGGTGTTTCGTATAGCTCTGATCTGATCCAGGGACAGCACGTGTACCTGCTGGGTGAGGGCTTCTCTGGGGTCAGGCTCCCCACGCTGTCTGACACTGTCACGGGGTGCCTGCAGCAAGGGCTGTGACCCACTGCCACTCTGAGCTCTGGTCTCCATCAGGTCTTGGAAGTGTGGTCACTCCAGCAGGCTTAGAACACATCTGAATTCCTGCGGAAACCAAGAGGGAAAAGTAGGTTTACGCTCTAGGATACTTCCCATTCTCCACCCACCTTAGTTAACTCTTCATTCCCCACTTCCCCTAGAGAAACAGGATTTGTATCTGAGTGGCTGTGGGGGTTATTAGGATAGCCACATGATCAATACCTGCACCGGAATGTAAAATTTTGGCTGGATACAGACAATTCTTTAATCTTTCGGTGTGTAGTGACACAAAGCTGCTCTTTGTTTCAATCACTTCAGTAACAATTCCTTATTCAAATAAACATTAAATTTGCAAGGTTCAGGTTCCATGTCAAAATTGCAAGAAAGTAATGTTAGAACATAACCAACTGCAACTGACATTTTCAATAGCTGAACACCTTTTCCAACTTTGAAAGGGTTTACGATTATCATGGTCATTTGTCTTTAGCGTTAATAAATACAGCCTAGAAATTCTTTAAGTCTGCTTTCAGACAGCAAATACCTTAAACTATTACTTAGCTAGTATTTTGTAACTTTATAAAATTCTGTATGATAAACATGGCATGCAGAAAGTAAACACCTCCCTCCCTCCAGGAATAGTTATAGATTTCACAACAGTCATGCAGTACCATTCACTATACAGTAGGCACGAAGTTTTAGAATGAAAAACCAAACGATTTCAAATCCTGGTAGGTGCCAGGAACACAAGCAAGCACACTCACACGACATGCATAAGACAGGAACTCATTTTCAGCTTCTCAGCTTCAGAGTCAAGTATTTTACAGCCTGATTGCCTAGAAGAACTTAAATTTTATAGCTCACTGTTCTGTTTTAGAAATAAATTATGTCCACGTCTTAAATGCTTTGCCCGTTTCTAAAAATAAAAAAATAAAAAGTCACATCTCAAATCTATCATTCTGACAAGTAATCGCTTTAACTGCAATCTCTCGATACATTTCAAAACTACCATCCCTTTTACCACTAAGTCTTCAGTGAACGAAAACGGGCAAAAGTGGACTTTTAGCCAACCTCGGGTTTTTAGAAGAGACACAGGCAGGTGACACACGCCTCCCGATTCCGCACAAGGCAGAGCTGGAAACCGGATCTCACTTCCAACAGGAAGGCAGACCGGACAACGCGGCCCTTGCCTTCACCGCGTTTATCGGCTCTATCAGCGCCCCAGCTCCGTCCCTAGCAGGTGGGACACAGCCGGCGCCCCGAGGGACTCGCCTCCCGGGGGACCCACGCAGCCCAGAGGGCGGGCCAGCCCCCCAGCGCACAATCCGGAG